ACTAACCTCTATCGTTTTCCCTTATAGGGGATAACCCAGGCTGCCAATTACATTTATAGGAGACTGATAAACGATGGGATTTTGAACCAGGCATTCGGCATCGCACCCGTAAGTTGTGGCATTTGGGACTCCACCTGTCTCTCTGGGTTGGCTCTGCTTCCCGTGGGGATTTCTGCTTTTCTCCTTGCTTGTTCTCTCTCCCCCAGGAATATAAATTGGTGGTGGCTGGCCACAGCTTAGGAGGGGGCGTTGCCTCCATCTTGTCCATCATGCTCAGAAACTCTTTTCCCAACCTGAGATGTTACGCTTTTTCTCCACCTGGAGGTTTATTGAGGTATGTAATAATAATAAATAATAATAAACTGCGCTACTCGGAACATCTTATATTTTAAGGAGGTACCTGGTTGACACCTAGAATGCTGGTAGCAACCCGTGTCAACCATCCGCACCAGCCAATTTGAATGTTCAGTTGACTAAGGTTTATGTTTAATGAATAAAAGATGATGCTAATAATAATAATAATAATCATCATCATCATCATCATCATCATCCACATCTGCCTATCCCAGGTCCTTGGTAAGGACTCGATAGGTAGACAAAATGCCAAATCCAGTCTGAACATCTGGCTGATTGTGCGATGATCCATAATAATAATAATAAAGTTGGAAGGGACCTTGGAGGTCATCTAGCCCAGGGGTCAACCTTGGCAACTTTAAGACTTGTGGATTTCAACTCCCAGAATTCTGGGACTTGAAGTCTACAAGTCTTAAAGTTGCCAAGGTTGAGGACCCCTGAGATTCTAGTCCAACCCCCTGCTCAGGCAGGAAACCCTACACCATTTTAGACATGGCTGTCCAGTCTCTTCTTAAAGACTTCCAGTGTTGGAGCATTCACCGCTTCTGGAGGCAGGTTGTTCCACTGGTTAATAGTTCTGACTGTCAGGAAGTTTCTCCTTAGTTCTGGGTTGCTTCTATCCTTGATTAGTTTCCATCCGTTGCTTCTTGTCCTGCCTTCGTGTTGATCCCGTTGACTTCGTCTGTGGAAATTCTCCCTCATCCAGGTCATAGTTCTCCCAAAGGTGCTTTTTCACGAGGTAACTGGACTTTCCTGTTTTTCTTTCCTGTTTTTTTTTTTCCCCCACCATCCAGTCAGAGCCGAAGAAGCTTCTTGGACGAGAAGCAAAACGTCTTCAGAGAGAAAAAAAAGAAAGTCCAGTTGCCTCGTGAAAAAAAAAAAAGCATCTTTGGGATCCTGTTAAGTTCTTTTCCACGGAGGATCCTAAATCCATCGGGGCAGAGATCAGGGTGCCAGGGGGAGCTGGGATTCAACCTGGGGGTTCCCGAGGTCACCCATCTAGCTTGTTGAAGTCAAGTTGCTTCCCAGGAAGCATCTTTCTGCCCCATCTTATCCTGGACGAAATAAAGACGAGGGTTTTTTTTTTACTTTCTGTCTAAAAAGTAGAGAAGGGGATTGTGTGTACAGGTAGTCCTTGACTTAACAACAGCTCATTTAGTGACTGTTCCAAGTTACAACGGCACTGAAAAAAATAACATGACCGTTTTTCACAGTTATGACCGTTGCAGCATCCCCAGGGTCACGTGATCAGAATTCAGACTCCTGGCAACTGACTCCTATTTATGACGGTTCTAGTGTCCCGGGATCATGTGATCCCTTTTGTGACCTTTTGACAAGCAAAGCCAATGGAGAAACCAGATTCACTTAACAACTGCAGTGATTCACTTAAGAACTGTGGCTAGAAAGGTCACAAAATGGGGCAAAACCCACTTAACAACAGTCTCAGAAATGAAAAATTTGGGCTCAGCTGTGGCCGCAACTCAAGAACCTCCTGTATACACGAATAAACACTTGTCTTTATCCATATTGGTCGTGGAAGATCAACTACCATAATCGTGTTTCTCTTGGTTATGTCTTCTTTTTAAGCAAATCCCTCGCGGACTACACAAAGCAGTTTATTGTGTCAGTCATTGTGGGAAAGGACATCATTCCCAGGTAAGGAGACGACGTGTCGTTTGTGTTGAAATCAACCTCCTGAATTTTGCCCTGTCTTGAATTTGGATCTTTTTTTTTCCCTTTCTGTTGGGCCTGAAACAGATTAAGTATGCTCAATTTGGAGGACTTGAAAAAGAGGATCGTTAGAATGGTTGCTAACTGTAACAGACCCAAGGTAAATTATTCTAAACAGGGCTTTGGGGATTGAAAAATTAAAACGGGCTGTTTCTTACTTTAGTGGCCCAGATGTACAATGGGGGGAAATAACCACCACAGTAGTAGCTACTGCTCTTAGCCTCTTCTGCTGTTACTCTTACCGTACCTGGAGACAAATTCTGTAAGGAGCTAACCACCCACAAAAGCAGAAGTCTTAAAACAGGCATTGTCTCAAAAGGAAACTTTTATTAGGGGTTAGTGACAGTAAGGAAGTCAAAGCAAGATCTGGGGAAAATCCCGCGCAAATGATATAGTTAAACTAGCAATATTCCTCCTCCCATCCAGAATCATAATGTCCATTTGAAATCCAGCCAGTCCACAGGTGGCAACGATGTTTGGGTAACTGGTACAGTTGGCGGGCATCTCAAGGTCTTCTCCAGCTTTCGTTTCTCTGCCACCAGGGAGACACATTCCTTTCTCAAGTGGAGAGGTGGGAAGGAAGGGTGAAAAGCAAAAGTTATCCCAAGTAAAAGCCAATTTCCCCCCCTTCCCCCCCAGCAGAATGGCAGGCCCCAAAACAAGAGCACATAGGCAAGGAAAACAAGAAGGACTTGGGGGCCTGACAAAATTCCTTGTGGGCCTAATCCCACTTGGCCAAATAAAGTTGGTCAGTCCGGCTTCCCACGTTCACTTGGCTTGTTGGAAACTAGCTGGGAAGGTCCCAAATGGCTCTTGCAATGACCCAGGACAGGGCAACTGTGATAAATGCATGCCAGTTGCCAAAGACCCACCTTTGGATCACATGACCCTGGGGACGCTGCAGTGGTCATAACTGAGAATTGCTTGCCAGTAATTTTTGGAACGCCGTTGTAACTTCGGTCGCTAAACCAATCGTCGTAAGTCGAGGGCTGCCGCAATCTGATCCTTCCGCTATATATTCAAGACGGACAGTATTTAATATTTATTTGCTTTGCATATGTAGGGGTGTGGGTCTATACATGTGTGTCATGTATGTGTTTCACTTTGAGAGCGGGCAACTAAATTTCATTTTTGAGGTGTGCCGTTATGCCCACAGTAAAAAAAAAAAAATGACAATAAAGGTTATCTTATCTTATAAAATGCAACCCTTTCACAATTCCCTTCTCTGTCCCTTTTGTCCTGTCTGTTGCTCGAACATTCAGTACCAGATTCTCTTGCATGGATGCTGGTATGAAGTTTTTGGAGGCAAACCTGATAACTTCCCGACGGAACTGGACGGCAGGGATCAGGATGCTTTGACCCAGCCTCTCCTCGCCGAAGAGAACTTGATGGCCCAGCAGTCACCTTTGTACACAAGTCTGGATGACAATTCCCCTTTAGGGTCCAGCCCTCAATACCCTCAATTGTTTCTCCCTGGGAAAGTCATCCACATCGTCGAAGAACACAGCACAAAAGGGTAGGTTGTGTTTACGTGTTCGTAAGCCAGGATGTCCCATTGTAGTCGCTCGGTCTTCTCCTGGATGCTGGGGGAAAGCCCTTCCCTCAAGTCCCATGAAAAGAGGAAAGCTGCAGGAATGCTCAGGCAGTTTGGTGGAGTGGTTAAGGGGCTGGCTTAGAAACCAGGACGGTGAGTTCTAGTTCTAGTCCTGCCTTAGCCATGGAAGCCAACTTGATGACTTTGGTCCAATTGCTAGGAGATGGTGAGTTCTAGTCCCGCCTTAGTCATGAAAACCAACTGGGTGGCTTTGGGCCCATTACTAGGAGACAGTGAGTTCTAGTCCCGCCTTAGCCATGAAAGCCAACTGGGTGGCTTTGGGCCAATTACTGGGAGACGGCGAGTTCTAGTCCCGCCTTAGCTATGAAAGCCAGCTGGGTGACTTTAAGTTGATCACCAGGAGACGGTGATAAACTTTTGCCCTCGGGAAACTCTTTTCATATTTTGTTCTGTGCAATGTGCAAAACAAATTGCTTGGAAGTGTTCCAGGCGTAGTATTTTGCAAAGCTTCCCAGTTGGTTTGTTTGTTTGTTTTTAGCGTGAAGGGCCTGTCTCTGTGTTCTAGTGAGCGCATCTGTTTTTGTTTCCAACTTGAAGCTCTTCTAGATCTTAACAGAATATAATATTTGTAGCTTAGAGTAGGTCCTTGGTGCTCTCGTAAGTTTGGTTGTTTTGTTGCTGACATTTCATTACCCAGCTAGGTAACCTCATCAGTGCTAGAAAGGAGTGGGGATTTGATCTCTGCTTATATTACAAGTGGCTTCCATGGTTCCTTGATTAAGCTGTTGGTCTGAGTTGGTAGTTCCTTGATTGAAGTATTGCTAGTGGTTTACTCTCCAGGTCTTCTTGGGTGGCCCATTTCACCCTTGAAACCCGGGCTTGCCAAAGTTGGCATGAAAAATTTTGCACCCAAGTATTAACAATATCCAGAATGCGATGACTTAGTAAGCAATTCTGTGAGAGAACAAAAAATATTTAAATATTTCTAAACAAGGCTTTAGATCCAGCATTGACATTGTCTTCTTTTTGCAGCTGGTGCTTTTCTGAAATCAAGTATTCAGCCAGCTGGTCCAGAGAAACTGCCTTTGGTAGTATTTTAATCAGCCCCAAGATGATCACCGATCATTGGCCCGATACCGTCCTCAGAGCTCTCCAAAGCTTGGTCCAAAGCGATACATCTTGCGTCTCGTGCCGATCACAAGGTGAAGCTTTCTGAATGTTGTATTAATGGCGGAGACTGGGCAAGCACAACCGGACTGTCCCCAGGCGTTCACAAGAACAGCCTTTAGCAGTTCAGCTGCGTGTGTGTCTAAAGCAGAAACCAGTGCAAGACCTTCAGATGTTTCTGGATGACCAGATTCGGTTGGAGTAACATCTTCTGGACTGCTTGTAACGGATTGAGACGTTTCGTGTTGGAAGATGTGATTTCGTGGAAGTTTTAATCGGTCACATCTGCCCGGGGACTGCTGTTGACTGAGAAGAACCCAACTGATGGGAAGTGATGGTTGATGTGCTCCTGAAGACCTCTTAGATCCATCTGATCTGCTACACGTTTCTCCAAGCACATGATGTGTCGTCAAACCAATTCCCTATGGCTTAGTGACATCTGACCGCAGGTTTATGACCTACTTGTAAATGTGTAAATCAGGAATGTTGGTGAGAATTAACTTCAAGTCATCGCCTAGTTGGATACACATTGAATGATTCTCATGTTTCTGCTGATGATCAGAAATGTCTTGGGTGTTCTTTCTTCTTGAAAGGAATTAGTATTTTCGATCTATTCTTGGATATCTGTGCAATTACGTCCATTTTTGTTTACAGTTCTTTAAGACTGCTGAATGTGCAATTAATTATAGAAAATGTAAAAGCCACGGTCTTTGGTTCGTGTTAGCACAAACCAGGAAAAGATCATTTTAGCTCTGTATCAAGATTGTGTAATTTTTTGGGGGGAGGAAAACAATCCTTGCTCACTCTATAGAGCTGGTAAGGTTTTGCATGATTGTCTAGAAACAAATCCAGATCAAGTTGATTCTTCAAAACTAATTGCTGTCCTAATGGTGGTTGGTGAGGAACAGTACTTTTTTTAGGTGATGCTTTTAATTTTCAATGCATTCGCTTCCTGGAGAAAGTCTGCCAATCAAGGAACGTACATGGTATTAAAAACAAAATGTATTTCTGTTCTGGAAGTGAACTAAATTTGAATTTGGCCTTCCTTTTTGACCTCATTCTGGTTTCAGTGGCAGATAAGAAGCAGGTCAGTAATGGGCTTAACAAAAAATAAAACAATTTTGAGTACAGGTATCCCTTGACTTACAACTGGGACCAACATTTCTGTTTGCTAAGCAAGGCAGTTAAGTTGTGCCCAATTTTGCTATCTTTTTGCCACGGTTAAGCCACGGTTGTTAAGTGAATAATGTCATTAAGCAAATCAGTCTTCCCCCATTGATTTTTTTGTTGGAAGGCAGCTGGGAAAGTCACAAATGGCAATCATATGATCCCAGGAGGCTGCAACTGCCCTAAATATGCAACAATTGTCACGTACCCCAATTTTGATTACGTGACTGGGAATCCTGCAACGGTTAAGTGCAGGGATCCCTTTTAATTACTTTTTCCAGTGCCGCTGCGACTTTGGTTGCTAAGCAAATTGGCTGTAAGTCAAGGACCACCTTTAAGGCCAAGACATAAACTTGACTTGGTTTTTTTTGTATTAGTTTTATCTACCATTATTCATGCTATACACGAGTATTATGCGCTGGGCAATTTTAAAGGAGGGTGTCTCACGAAAGGGGGGTGTCACTCTCCCCTCCAAAATGGGTCAAATATCTCCATGTCAGCTCGCTAAAGCCCGCCGTTGACATGTTTGGCTCCATCAGCAGTGTTGCTGTATAAAAACAACCTTGTTGGAAGAATAGATAAAAAGTGATGCTCTGGACCTTTATCCTTGTTGTGTGCAGCAAACGCACAAGGTAAAATTATGGAAGAAATGAGGACTGCTAGCCTAAGAAGCACCATCATCTATAGATAACAAGCTGGTATTTTTCCCCCCATTAAAAATAAGTTTTCCACCTGATCAGCTTGATGTGTTTTTATCTTTCAGGGGGAATCCTGGGAGAGTGTCATAGCCAGACACAGCTGATATTAGAAATTGTACAGGAAGACTCACAAAAGTCGCCTTCCGCATTGGCTAGACCAGTGTTTCTGGACCTTAGCAACTCTAGAAATGTCCACACATCTTAAAGAGTTTGTTAAGGTCGAGAAACGGTGAATGGACTGAAAGTCTGATTAGCTCCTGTTGAAGCAATTTTCTGGCAGCTCCGCAGATCTCGTAAGGAAAATACCAGCCTACGGACAGTCCTTGACTTATGTCTGCAACGGAGGCCAAAATTTCAGTCGCTAAGACGGTTAAAGTGAATTTTGCCCCATTTTACGACCTTTCGTCCCACGGTTCTTAAGCAAATCATTTCAACTGTTAATAACATGGTTGTTAAGTGGAACTGTCTTCCCCCATTGAATTTTGCTTGTCAGAAGGGGATCACACGACCCGGGGGACATTGGCAACCGTTGTGAGTCAGTTGCCAAGTGTCCAACTTTTAATCACTTGATAGCGGTCGTGTGAAAAATGGTCGGTAAGTCACTTTTTCAGTGCCGTTGTAACTTTGAACGGTCGCTAACTGTGGAGGGGTTTTTTTAATAATTAGGAAGAAAGAAAAACAAAACCAGACTGGGTTAAGAGACAGAGAAAGAAACCACAGCACAAAGGTCCAGTCCCGTTGTGTATCTGCACCACCGGCACAACAATTCTAACTCGCGAAGTGCTTCCATTCCCATCATCCCCAGGGATCAGAGTCCTGCAACAGGACAACACATTTGACACACAAATGCAACTCAAGAGAGTCCACACGGTAACCCGGCTGTGATTTAAGAATTTATTAAGTCATACATGCAAAACAGACTGCTAACTTGCATTACCAAAAAAGATCAATGTAAAAACTTCACAATCTTGCGAACTCCATTTATATATATTTATATTTATATATATATATGTATATATTTGTTCTAGTAATTGAAAGGGGGAGGAGGGGGGAAAATCAACGTGTTCTTGCCAGCATCTGACGTACAGAACCTCACGGGCCTGACTGGTTCCTGAAAACATGTTAAAACCAGCCGTGTCAGTGTTAGTAAAGTTAATACAGCTTCAGGATACCTGGCAGATCAGAGTCATTAGCCAGAGGGGAAAAGTGGAGTGAAATATTAAAAAAAGAAAAGAAAAAGTGGTAGATCAGCTGCCCTCGATTTTTACACCAAATTATTTTGGAAGACTGAAGAAAGCTTTTTAAACCATGAATATAATTGGGGGGGGGGAAGAAAGAGAGAGAGAGAGAGAGAGAGAGAAGGCTATGTTGGACTACTCTATCTTATCAAAAAAATAAGTGGCTAATATAAATCAAAAAAATGCTTTAAAATACAAATTATAGGGGTCAGGAGGAGATTCTATAAGAAAAGTGTCCAGCAAGAACATGTGAAGAGGACCAGCTCAAAAGTTGTAATAGGCTTAAAGTCCCACCAGAAAAATATGTATGAATACTCTAGAAAAAACACCAACCTGCTCTTCAGCTGTTCATTAGCTGCAGGAAGGCCTCCTTTTGTGGGTTTTTTAATAGTACAAGAGCAAAAAAACAAACTAGTGTGTTGACAATGTAGTGTAAATTGATTTTTTTTAGTGTCAAAATACTGTCTGGCCGTTTCCACTGACCGAGTTAGCCGTCTTTCCTTCAAGAAAATAGTATTTTGCTGGGAAGGAAGACAAATACATTTTGAGGGGGGGGAGGGAAATAGCTTTAATCGCAGACCTTAGTAAATTTGATTTTTTTTTGTTTTTTTGTGTGTTTTTTTAAAAAGGGAAGGGTGAATCTGGAGTTGTCAATTATTGCATTTGTTCAAGCTTGAAAGATGGATGTGAAGAAGCTGTCGGATGAACGAGTGCACTTTTTTTTTTAAAGAGAGAAATATTTTCTTCCTGGGAAAACCCCATCCAAGTGTTGCAACTGCTAATAAACATTAGTATTTTTTTAAAAGACACCTGCCTGGCTTTTTAAAGGAAAAAGACAGGTCCGGTGCTTCACGTAACAAAGCACAGCAATCCAAGAAGAGTAAGGAGCAGAAAAATTTGGCAACAGTTGATTAAGCGGAGCGAAAAAGGAAGGAAGGGGGGGGGGGAGAGAAATAAGGCCTTTATGTAAGTTTGTCTTTAAAAAAAAAAAAAAAAATCTCTGTAGGAGAATTAAGGAGAAGCTAACTTTTTTAAACAAAGGGAAGTGTAAGGTGGCTGTTTAAGATAACCAGAAGAGGAGAGAACCAATTTTTTAAAAAAACAGAAACGCAGGAATGCTCCATTATTCCAAGCAAAGCACAAAAGGTTTTGGAGTGGGGGCTGGGGGAGGGGGTTAAGGGTCATTAGAGCAGCAGGCATTTCCTCTTCCTCTTCTTTACTGGAGGGGGGCACAGAACGGCTCGGATGGCTTCGTCGAAGACGGTCTTGAGGCCCCGCTGTGTAAGTGCTGAGCATTCTAGGTATTTGACTGCGCCTGCAACAAGAGGAAAGACCAGCTGGCTAAAGAACACGGGAATTCCCCAATCCTAAAATTAAAAAGCAGCAGCAACAACATTCCTGGCAATAGGAGAAGAGGGAGACGGCACATGGCAATCTCCTAAAAGGATTTAAATATCACATCTCATCTCTTTCTGTGTGTGTGTGTCTGTCTGTCTCTCTTTTTCTCGTCTGTCTGTCCATTTCATCTATCATCTATTTATCTCATCTATCAAATTATCATGTCTCTCATCTCTCATCAATCCATCACCTATCTCTCATTATCATCTATCAAATTATCATCTTTCTCTCTCATCTACCCAGCTATCTATTGCTTTCTCATCTATCAAATCTATCTTTCATCTATTTAGTTCTATCTATTTATCTATCATCTATCCATCTATCAACATATATCTGTATCTATCTATCTCTATCTCTTTCTATATTATCTATCATCTAATCTATCTATCTATCTATCTATCTATCTATCTATCTATCTATCTATCTATCTATCTATCTATCTATCTATCTATCTACATATATCTGTATCTATCTCTATCCCTTTCTATATTAATCTATCAACATATATCTGTATCTATTTATCTCTATCCCTTTCTATATTAATCTATCTATCAACATATATCTGTATCTATCTCTATCCCTCTTTCTATATTATCTATCTATCATCTAATCTATCTATCTATTTATCCATCCCGCAAAGGGGCCCAAGGCCTACCAATCTCCTTCGCCATGGCAAGGCCTTGTGGGTAGGTGATCGGAGTCAGCTTCTTCTCCTTGAGTTTTTCGATAGTGTCTTTGTCATCTCGGAGATCAAGTTTGGTTCCCACTAGGATGATGGGGGTATTGGGGCAATGGTGTCGCACTTCTGGATACCACTGCAGAAAAAGGGAAAAAAACTGTCAAATTGGCTCTGCCTGGAAAACCAACCCAGTCAAAAGAGATATGAAGCCAACTTCCCACCAACGAGCCAGGCTCTTAAGGCATGCCAACTAAATCTGCTTCAAAAAATCCACACGTAAACAAAAGGAAGTCAAAAAACAGAGCTCAGAGTATAATTTTACTGTGAGCTTGATTGACAGTCCAGGACAAGAAAAATAACTTTTGCCACTAGCTTTTATCTTTAATATTAAACACATTCAGGCAGACTGGATACTGGTTCCGTTTCTCAAAAAAAAATCTTTCACTTATTAAAGCCACGTTTTGCTATTCACTGAACTGCTGACCGATTCATTTTTCTGCTATTAGTAATCTCTCCCACAGCAAAGATATAAGTTAATGACAGAGACCAGAAATGTATAGATATGTTATATGTAATGAATGTACAATATGGACTGACAAGAGGGAGATGTCAGCCAAAGACGATTTACCACGTTCAATGTTTTTAATCTTTTTTTTCCCTTTGTACCCAATAAACTTTTTTTAAAAAAATAATAAAAAATAATAATCTAGGTCTCTCTTAAAGAAAGGTCAGGAGAAACAATGAAGGCGTTTTGACTCACCTTTGCCCGGACATTTTCAAAGGATGCTGGGCTCACCAGGGAAAAGCAAATTAAGAACACATCCTGCAAAACAGCACCAACAGAATCTCAGTCTCCAGGAGTTTCACAAGATTTCCACATACCTAGCTCCACCTATGAGTTCTAATTACCAAGAAAGAGCGACACTGGGCTGGCAAGATAGAATACGTCACAATTATGCTTCTTCGGCATTCAAAATGGCATTAAATACTAGCAGACAAGAAATACGACTAGAATGAAAGGACCCATTGAATAATAAATATTTATCCCGCCTTTATTATTTTAATAACTCAAGGCAGCTAACATAGCTAATACTCCCTCCTTCTTCCTCCCATTTTCTACACAACAACCCTGTAAAGTGGACTGGGCTGAAAGAGGCCCAAAGTCACCCATGCAGCTTTCATGCTAAAGAGGGACTAGAACTCACAGTCTCCTGGTGATTGGCCCAAAGTCACCCAGCTGGCTTTCATCCCTAAAGCAGGACTAGAACTTACTGTCTCCTGGTTTCTAACCTGGGGCCTTCGCCCCTAAACCGAGCTGCATTTGGGCTGTGCATTGTATGAAATCACATCAAGTTAGTCCCTCTCTGTAAAGTGTCAGCCACTCAGCCAATATACAACTTTAGTTTTCTTTAACACCACCAGCAACTTTAGAGGCTGGGATTTCGTCTCCCAACGTTTGCTCCAGGCCAAATCCGAGATTAGCCCGCCATTCACAAATGCCGTTTCTCAAAACTTCAAAAAAATCCCTCTATGCCTTACACCAGTGGTGGCGAACCTATGGCACGGGTGCCAGAGGCGGCACTCAGAGCCCTCTCTGTGGGCACACGTGCCGTTGCCCCAGTCCTAGGCCTTCAGCTGGGTTTTATAAAACCTTTTCGCTTTAGGCCTCCGCCGCCGTGTGCAAAAAAAAAAAAAAGGTTCAATCAATCAATTTCAACTTCTCGCGGGGAAAAAAAAGGTCTTGCAAAGTCGGAATTGATTGATTGAACGTTTTAGTCCCGCCCAGTCTGCCGTTACCACCGCAGCCACGCCCAGCCAATGGGCCACACCCACCCGGCACTCGACGATGCATAAGTGGGTTTTGGGTTGCAATTTGGGCACTCGGTCTCTAAAAGGTTCGCCATCACTGCCTTACACCATATAGTTTCCCCTGCACATCAACAGCTGGCCTGCTAAAAATCAGAGAACCCTCTGGGGGGTGTTAGTTGATTGAGCTGCATCTCCTTGGGGCCTTCACCGTTAAGCACTTGCAGCCGTAATTAACCATGCATTCCAGGTAATGGGTGGAAAATTGGTGGAAAGTAGGCATGCTCCCATAACCCCCCGCAGCTCCTCTCGCTGGCTGGCTCCTGCCCGGATCGTCTCCTTCCCATCGTTCCCAGCCTCCCTGAAGGAAGTGGCTTTTGCAAATGCTTGGATTTAACTGTTTATTAAGGAGCAATTACCTAGAGCGGGGCCGTCCAACCTTGGCCATTTTAAGACTGATGGATTTCAACCCCCAGAATTCCCCGGCCAGCATATTTGAAGTCCACAGGTCCTAAAAGTGGCCAAAGTTGGACGCCCGTGACCTACAGGGGCAGGAAGGTGCCAGAGGAGAGGAAGCCAGTTTTTAGGGCCGCAGAAGCAGCGAAGAGGAAGACAAGTGCCCCCGAAAAGCCCTTGGAACGTAATGGATGAAAGCGTTACATACGCAGAGTGGCTGACGCTTCCCACTGGGAGTTAAATCCTTACCATTCGTTCCTTCAACCTAGTAACAGCACGAGACAACCTGGGTTAATGTTAGGAGAGGCGGGAGAAGACGCTCTTTGCTCACTGGCTGAAAGCAACGCTCCCAGGATTGTGTGGCTTCGGGACTGCGAAGGGGTCAGGTCTTAGGACCGAAGTGGGCCAGGGTTTTAGTTTCGAATTCCTCTCCTTGTAGAAAAAACTAATCCAGAGAGGAACTTATTCTAGCCTCAGCTTTTCTGCAGGGAAGATTCCCTACACAGAGGATTTCCCTGTGTGCATTATTGTGTGTCCCCCAGAGTAATGTTTCTGTACTTAAAACTATCTGTCCAAAGGGGAAGGGTTTAGAATAAAACCGCAACAAATTTGAACATTTAACGTGACTTATATATTGTCCACTGGACTTCTTCCTGGTCGTCCATGTGCAAATGTGTGACCTTTTTTGGGGGAGGGGGGATTTCCCCCCCCCAAGGACCTGCTTCTGAAATTTAATACAAGTTTTACCAAACCCACTTACAAAGAGATTACAAAACTTTGTAACAGCTCAAGGCGCCTAAGATCCTTCTCCACTAACATCTGGCTCAAGATATCGCCTCGCCCTGAGGTTATATGTTTCTGCAGGTTCAGATAGCTCGTTACGCAATGTGGAGAGAGGTATCTTACCATATTAAAAGTGTGGTGGTGAATGCAGCATTCCAGAGAAGCAAGGGACAATGCAATTTGGATAGTTTTCATGTGAGAGAAAGAGGGCAAAGACAGCTCCACCCTAACTATTCCCAGAGTATATACTTAGGGGGTAGGAGAGTCTAACCTTGGCAGTTTGAAGACCCGCGGACTTCAATTCCCAGAATTCCCCAGCCAGCCAAATTCCCATCTAAGGTCTACAGCAGGGGTAGTCAACCTTGGCTCTTTTATGACTCGTGGACTTCAATTCCCAGAATTCCTGAGCCAGCTTAGCTGGCTCAGGAATTCTGGGAGTTGAAGTCCACGAGTCATAAAAGAGCCAAGGTTGACTACCCCTGGTCTACAGCAATGTGTATTATTGCTGCTTTTGGTAGAGTTCCTTGTTCGGTTCTTGCTGGCTGGGGAATTCTGGGAGTTGAAGTCCACAAGTCTTAAAATTGCCCAGGTTGGTCACGCCTGCTTTATGGGGATGGTAGCAAGTTTTAGTCGGGCAAGATTCTGTCTACAGGTGAAGCACAATTAAGGACATCGGCTCAGAAGAATCACAATGTGGTTGTTGTTTTTTCGTTTTGGAGCTCGACACAAACACTTTTTCAGCAATCTTAGAAAACAAGCGTGGCTGGCAGAGTTATTCAAGTCGCCTTTGATTTGTTTTTGAGCCTATTAACAAAGGAGAACGGGAGAGGCACCGCAATGGCTCCTGTGCTGTGTCCCCACTCCGCTACACTTCAGCGGTGTGCTCTCCCCTCGTCATTTGATTGCTGTCCCAGATAAATTCTCACTTCTCTGGAACAAAGAAGTCTTTTTTTTTGCTCCCTACCCCTTTTCTGGCAGTTTTTCTCGGAAGCAGCAAAGCTGGCTTTTTCTCAAAGCCAAGGTCACAGAAAGTGACTTCCCGGAGTTATACGTTTAAAACGGTTAGTGAGCAAGTGAAGAAGAAGAAGAAGAAGTTCAGAGAACTGAGCGTTTTCACGGGAGGGGGGTGGCAGGAGGGGGAAAGCTGCATTGATGGAAGAGCCAGGAAAGTATCTCATTTCTTCTTATGGGAAGTGTGTGACAGGCTGAACAAGCGACCGAGTACAAAATGTGAGCAATAAGTAATTAAAGACAGGAAAGAGAGAGAAAGCCATCACATTAGAGCAGGGGTCTTCAAACGGGGCCCTTAGATGACTTGTGGACTTCAACTCCCAGAATTCCTCAGCCAGGCACGTGTGCCTGGCTGAGGAATTCTGGGAGTTGAAGCCCACAAGTCATCAAAGGACCAGGTCTGAAGACCCCTGCATTAGAGGGAAGCTTGTCAGTCCAGCCCTTGAATGTCAAGGATTGATTTCTCCCATTTTACTGGAATCTCCAGAAATCCCAGCCTCACACAAGGCTGCTGGAGAAGGAGAGAGAATGGTTTATGCGCAAGATTTAGAGTTTGCAGGGCAGGAAGGATTGCTACAGGTGTCACGGAAATTGCGATGCCGGTTTGCAAGGGTTTGGGACAATAGGTTAGTTCATTTTATGCTACAACTAGAAGCTTCTCTGACTGTCAGCAAGCCCGTAAGAAGACGAGACGGACACGTCTGCCGCCGTATAACGCTTACTGTCTGTGGGTAAGACAACGGGCGTAGTCTGTCGTAGTCTTCTTGTCCAGCAGTGTCCCACAAGCCCAGGTTGACCGGCTTCCCATCGACCATCACATTGGCAGAGTAGTTGTCAAATCTGCCAGGGAGCAGAAAACAATTAGCACATTCTTAATAGGTTTTCTGTTAAAACGAAATGTTGAAACATTTCTGTTGAAACGAAATGTCAACCTAACCCTGATGATGTTACCTAGTTTGGGTAATGAAACGTCTGCAAGCAAACAAGCAACAAGGACCCCTCAGTATCAACTTTAGGTTGCGATGATTAGGCATGTTCAGGATGATAGAAGGATTGTTTGTTAAGGCTTAGCCTACTTCAAAGGGCGATTGTGTTTTAGGTTTTTATCTGGGCTAAAGAAAGTTGGAAGTGATTTCCCCCCCCTCTTTGTTGGCAGGCCCCAAGCTTGCTTTTTCCCTACCCTTTTCAGTTCTTTTTTTAAATACTTTTCTAAACCTTAATAAAGAAACAGCACGTTCTCTTCCAACTCAGCCCACGTCAGAGCACATGCAGCTTAAAACCACACATCTGTAAGAGGTTTAAGCCCAAGTATGGAGTGCACCTTCTCCTTTGAATGATAAAACGAAGAGGAACCGTGCCATCTTAAAGACTGGGAATTTCACATGTTCAGAGTTGACTCTGCTCCATGAAACCTTGTGTCTTTCAGAGGCTAAAAGTGTCCTGACCTCTCCAAAAACTGGTAATGTGCTTCCGTAATTTGACATTGTGATATTTCTTTTTTGTTTTAAAGTGCCTTGTGATGGTAACCTATAATATTAATTTAAACCAGTGGTTCTCAACCTTTTTAATGCCGCGACCCCAACCGGTCGTAAGTCGAGGACTAAACCGGTCGTAAGTTGAGGACTAAACCGGTCATAAGTTGAGGACTAAATCGGTCGTAAGTCGAGGACTACCCAACCGGTCGTAAGTCGAGGACTTTCCCTGCCCGGGAGCGCCGCGCATGCGTGGTTCCGCCTCCTGCGCCAGCCGAGGCGTAGCTGCAAGCGGCAGAGACGGAGCAGGCCGACCACCAGCTGGCCCAGCCCAAGGGAGGTAAGGCACCCGCCGGAAAAGGGGAAAAAATGGCGTACAAAAAAAATGGCAGACAGCCTTGCTTGGCGACCCCCGTGAAATGGTCGATCGACCCCAAATGGGGTCCCGACCCACAGGTTGAGAACCACTGATTTAAACGGATGCAGAATTGTTTCAACGCCTTAAAATAGCACACATATTTCAATGCATGAGCCAAAGGAACAGGAAACCTCTCCCAAATGAGTTATATTAAAACAAACGATAACAATGTTGGATTTCAGTCAACAGATACTGCTCCAGAATCCTCAGCCATTGCAAACTTCTGACATGCTATTTTTTTTATTATTATTTCTTTGGCAAACCACTCATTGGGAGTAAGGCAGGGAGCAAACTGAATAAATACAATAAATGCTAATTTTCCAGATGGAGAGCAGTACAAAGACTGTAACCCAAAACATATTTGTGCCAAAAATACTACTTAAAGCGCAGCTCCTCTATTACGAAGCAACCCAGTCAAGTGTCTTTATGGTCTTTTGAATGCTTAAAAGCGCTCGAGAAAAAAAATAAAATACTCACACAGTTGGTATATATTCTCCAGGAAATGCATTGGTTGTGTAACTGATGAGTAGGCATGTTTTACCTACAGCACTGTTAAGAGAGAGAGGGGGGGAAAATCACCATAAGAAATTATTCATGTGATGGAGAGAACAAGGAAGCCATTCAGCAGAAAAAACGAGCTGTTTATTAGCACTTGAATTTAAACAAGATAAATCTAATCCTTTAACTGCTATATATTTATGATATATCGCTGCCAAGTTAGATAAAGGATTCAAAGTCTTTAAAATTCATACTTGGCTGAACTCACACTTCAAATACACCTTTCTTACAGACTGCTAATTTGTAGACCTGGCCAGCTTTTGCCAGCTGACCTGCTAGCTTTCCACAAACATAGGACATTTGACACTTGGATCTGGTGAATTTTCAGGAAACATAACAGTTGGCCGTTATGGAGGGCTGGATACTGGGTGGGGATCTTAAACCTTTCTGCAATGTTAATTCAAGTTCTGAAGCCAGAGTTTATAATTCCCAGCTTTGGGTTATTAGGCCATTTTAATTTTCTTAGCCTGCTGGTAGACTGCGATTTCTGGGGTTTGCAAAGTTCTCAAGATGAAAAAAGCCCGGGCGGGCGTCAATTTAAAGCAGAAGGTCTGTTTTGAAAGAATAGCTGCTTCCTGTGAGGCACGTGTGGGCTGAGTGGCTTAGCCTGCATCGCTGTGCATTTAAAGCTGTGAAGCCTAAATTAATGGAACAAGTGGAATTTCGTGCGGCAAGGAGAAAACAGCCTCACCGCAGGGAGAAGCGTATCAGCAGAGTAAGAAAAACACCCACAAAGCACACAACGTTTTAGGGCAGTGGTTCTCAGCCTTTTTAATGCCGCGACCCCAACCGGTCGTAAGTCAAGGACTAAACCGGTGGTAAGTCGAGGACTAAACCGGTTGTAAGTCAAGGACTACCCAACCGGTCGTAAGTCGAGGACTTTCCCTGCCCGGGAGCGCCGCACATGCGTGCTTCCGCCCCCTGCGTCGGCAGAGGCGTAGCTGGCAAGTGGCAGAGACGGAGCAGGCCGACCACCAGCTGGCCCAGCCCAAGGGAGGTAAGGCACCCGCCGGAAAAGGGGGAAAAAATGGCGGACAAAAAAAATGGCGGACAGCCTTGCTTGGCGACCCCCGTGAAATGGTCGATCGACCCCAAATGGGGTCCCGACCCACAGGTTGAGAACCACTGTTTTAGGGGAACAGAGGTTTCTTGAGCTTTTACTTTTCAAGTCAGAGAGGATCGTATTCAAGTAGTAAGGTCTCATGAATTGGTTCACTTCTCCTGGGAGTGAAAGAAGACAGGAAACAATGGAAAGAGAACCCATGTGCTATTTTCATCAACCAAGCCTACAGAGGCACAGGCCAAAGTCCTGCTGAATGCGCTGTGAAGGCACCAGAGCCCTAATTGTACCACTCAGTAAGGACTTTTTGAATGACATCATTATTTTAAAGTAATGGATTGACAGAAGGTTTTTTTTTTTATTTCCCTCAGCCGAAGTTGAGAGAAAAGCACGGCTATGAATTCAAGCATGAGATCTCTGATATATACGAACTGATTTGCACTAAAATGAGCTCTTTTCTGTAATGCAGCCATTGCTTTCCTCTCCTAATAATAAAAATTGGATTTTTCAAAGGCCCTGAAAAAAAAAAATCCATTTCCACCTCCAGATAATGTCACGTTTTTTATTGTTGTTGTTGTTGTTTGCTGTGGGTGGGAATTCTTAAGTCATTCTGGCATGACTGCAAGGCGGCCAGGAATTTTACTTCCAAATCAAAAAATTTAAAATTGCTAGAAGCTTTGAAAGTGTTTGATTCTGGGGGAATAGGTGGGAGGCAGTGTCTTAAGCATAACATCAAAAGGTACATAGGTCTCTTTCTTATATTCTCTTATTGCAGAAGGGAACATCTGTAAGCTGGGGTTGAACTGTCCTTGGTGCTCTCTGAGGATGTTGTTTGTTTTTTTTTTGCAGACGTTTCATTGCCCAACTAGGTAACAATATCAGTGCTAGAAGGGAGTCAGATGTGCTCTCTGTTTATTATCCTTCTAAGGTTGATGATGCCACCTAATGGGGAAACATCTGCAAGAAAACAACCTCAGAGAGCACCAAGGACCCCATGAAGTACAGTGGGCTATACATTGCAGGTTTCACGCTCCAATGAATGTGGATTTGCTTGCTGTAGCTTTTAACTGGACCTGTTCTTCCTGCTCTGCTTTTAAGATGCTACCTCCTCTGCTCTGGGATTATTATACAACAACAATAACAACAACCACAACAGAGTTGGAAGGGACTTGGAGGTCTTCTAGTCCAACCCCCTGCTCAGGCAGGAAACCCTATACAATTTCAGACAAATGGTTGTCCAGTCTCTTCTTAAAAACTTCCAGTGTTGGAACACTCGCAACTTCTGGAGACAGGTTGTTCCACTGATTAATTCTTCTAATTGTCAGGAAATTTCTCTTTAGTTCTAGGTTGCTTCTCTCCTTGATTAGTTTCCATCCGTTGCTTCTCGTCCTGCCTTCAGGCGCCTTGGAGAATAGCCTGACTCCCTCTTCTTTATGGCAACCCCTGAGATACTGGAAGACTGCTATCATGTCACCCCTTGTCCTTCTCTTCGTTAAACCAGACCTACCCAATTCCAGCATCCGTTCCTTATATGCTTTAGCCTCCAGTCCCCTAATCATCTTTGTTGCTCTTCTCTGCACTCTTTCTAGAGTCTCAACATCTTTTTTACATTGTGGTAATCAAAACTGGATGCAGTATTCTAAGTGTGGCCTTACCAAGGCATTATAGAGTGGTATTAACACTGTTTCATAGACATGATCACTTATAATCTAAACTAAAGTGTATTCCTAATACCAAATCAGCAATTTCATAAGTAAATAAATGGGGATTCTTTTCTCCTTCGGCCTCTTAAAAGGTTTTGAGTAGCAAATCTACTCAAGACAACAAACTTTCAGAACCACTCCAAAATGTTGAAAAGAGGAACGGAAGGGTTCAGGTCAAGCATAATGGGGCCATTAAAGCAGCCTCCTCAGTGGTCATGCAGTACAAGGCAAACAGGTCCACGAAGAGAAGGAAAAACCCACAAGGACAAACACATTTGTTCTATTCTAAATATCCTTGTCTTCTAAGCCTGCTTGGCTTTTCAGCCCCGATGAGTCAGCTCTGTACTCGGTTCCAAGATGAAAAGTTTGATTTACCTAGATTCTGCAATGATCCTCCGCTTCCTTCAAGTAAACAGAACGCTTCTTAGGGAAGCCAAGTTTATTTCAGAGAAAAATGATGTCAATTCGGCTGGATTGTGTTAACTAGTCCAAGCCCGGAAGAACTGCACGCAAACCAGAACAGATGCAGGAACACAGAATAATGACTAGTTTAATCCTGCAGAGGTTTTTACTGGGAAAAACAGGCCGACTCCGGAATTTCAACAGCTCCATTTATCGATTTACTTTCCTTGGGCCTGAAACACGCATAGAGATCACATCACGCCCCTTCAGAAAATATAGGCAATCCTGAGAAATCCCTTTGCTTACTTCACAATCAACATTTGAGGCCCGGATCGTTCCCAACCTAATTTCCATCAATACGGGTCGGACCTGAATTCGTATAATCCCCAGCCATCCAGCCAACGGTTAGGCTAGCTAGGGGGAAGTTCTGGGAGCGGCAGTCAGCACAAATGCACGGTACTAATCTGGGAAAGAACGTTCTGGGCCCACAATGTAAAAAGCCAGCGTTGGGATACCTCATCCGTCCCTCAACCAAAATAAAAAGCTGATTTGCAGCTCAAACATCTGCACAGAAGACAGCAGAGGCTCCAAAATGGGACTGAATAAGCAATGGAATAGAAATTTGAGTATATTTATTGTGATTTTTATTATCGCCTGTTCACCGCCCTGAGTCCCGTAAGGGAGATAGGGTGGCACACAAATTTAAATAAATAAATAAATAAATAAATTCGCTTTATTTGAAGAGCTGCTCTGCAAAGCAGAGTTAATGATACAACGCTGGCCGGTGTGATTTTTCCCGCAGGGTAGCTAAGAAACTTTCTCTCCTTTTGTCTTTGCACCCAGGGTTTTTTTTTGGAGGGGGGGGGGAGGAAGAGAAAGAACAGGAAAGGTCGTTCATACAGTATATCAAGCCTCATTTCCTGGAACATGAGAACATGTCAAGCTTCTCAGCAAACCCAAGACTCATAGAAAGGGGTGAATGCCATAAATCAGCTTTAAATTACCACTGAGAAGTTGTGGGAAACTTTTTAAAGCCATTGTCTTGGAGTGTTGTGGGGGAAGAGAGGTCTCTGCTGTTGTGAGGGACCGGGAGACAAATCACAAATCGGAGGGTGTCTTAAAAGCGGCTCCTTTTAAGCACATATGGTTCCAATTGGTGCAGGGAAGGAAGCACAAGGGCGTTTCTAAGTAAATAGCTGGGTGTTCTTTCCATTATCATTTTTTTTCCTGTTTTACCTATTAGATCATGATGCCAAGAAGAACGCAGGGCCCAGACCCATGATCAGACCCATGATTTCTGATCTTGGCAATACTTTACATAGCGTTATAGAGTCAGGGATTACCCCAAGTAACGTGGATTTCATCTTTTTGCTTCTCAGAATGGAGTCCACCGCAATAGTGAAAGGCAGATACTCAAGCAGGAAATCAATACGGCAGTGTTCGCCAACCTTGGCAATATTCAAGTCGATGGACTTCAAATCCCAGAATTCCACAGTCTGCAGAGCCATTGCTGAGAATTCTGGAAGCTGAACCCTGAAATTGCCATGGTTGGGGAGCATTAGAATAAGAGTGTTTTTATTTTATGATGTTCACATTCCTAAAATCCCACTACTGATACATATGCTGAGCTTGTCCTCCTTAAGAAAAAGAATACTAGAATGGAGGAGAGGGGGGGAGGAAATTTATATTCCACATTATGAAACCTCAACTACTTTTAAATTGTGTTTACTGGGTGTGTTGTTAATAGCCGAACAGTGAGCAAAACAAAAAATGCTAACAATCAGAAACAGACAGCATTAGAAACAATGACACCAGCTATTACAAAAGCTGCTTATTGGTCATAAAATCTGTGAATTGGGAGGCCTAGACAGATAAGGATAAAATTTTATCCCAATTTCATTCATAAAGTAAGATTTTTCAAACCGTCCCAAACTCTTTTAAGTTACATTTTAAAGAATCAGCAAAGATATTATGGTATAAAATAGGGCATAAACAGAAGTAGTAATAGACACTAATTGTTTAGCGATGTATTTCCCTTGGGAAACAAAAGCTGCACAGCCCAAAGAACTAAATTTTGTGCAAGGCTTTCTCTCATGATAAACTGCACCAAATTCAACATAAAGAAAATATCTGGTAAATCCTCCTCCACTCTCAAGCCAAATCAAAAGTCAATAAAGGCAGGGCTAGAAAAATATTTTAAATACTTGAGAACTAGAATCATAGTTACGATACTATCCAGAGCTATTAAAAAAAAACCTTAAATTTTAGACATCATTATTTCACTTTAGGGGTGTGGCTGCCCAGGCATTTTTGAAAGCCATCTGGATCCCTTTGGAAAAGGAAAGAAAAAAACCCCTCTTTTCCGAAATTCAAATTCTAAAACTATGAAACTCAAATTAAAAACTAAGCCACATTTTCAATGCCTGAACTGCACCATTTCCTCATTCTCAAAGATAAGTTGCTACTCAAATTTAGGCAGATTGTGGGTAAGGTTTCAAGGAAATGTTAGAGTTCAAAATACATAACAGCTTGACTCATTATGTTAATATTAATAAAGTTGTGCATAACTACCTCTGTAAGATAGAACATCCACAACTAATCTCACCATGATCCCCTTAAAAAAAAAAAGGAGTGTTCATCTTACTACAGTTCATTTCTTTCCATTTCCAAACTGATTCATCTCAAAGGCTCCATGCAGAAAGCACAACTTCTCCGAAAATATTTTGGGAACGTGCCAGTTGCTCAATAGGTCTGGCTTCTTTATAAAGATAGCTAAGAATAGTCTTAAAATAACTCCAGCCTTTGAAAAAAAAATGTTTCTTTTGTTAACCACAAAACAAAGTGAAGTTTCATATTCTTGAGGAACTGCCAAAAGAAAGGCAAAAAGCAGCCCAACGCAGCACACACAACAGCAGTCACTAAATTCTGGACGGGCCTCGTCCCAATGATTAGGGATTCTGCCCATTACACACTTCAACAAAATCTGCACACACATATCTCCAACTCCATGTTTGAGCATTCCAAAGCCTCAGCAGCCTTGATAATCTTTCAGGAAAAAAATCTACCCCTCTCTACAAAAGCAGGTCATCTTTATATCTGAGGGCATTTATACTAGGTCCATGTAAACTCTGGGCTTGCTTACCATAGAAAAAAAGCTCTTTTTAAAGAAATAACTGTAGAAAAATTCTCTTGTTTTCCCCTTTTAACTCATTCCCCAATGAGAGAACAAACAAAGAAAGCCAGGAATCTTTCTATTGAGAAACTGCCCCACAGCAAAAGACAAAGGTTTAACCCTTATCTTACAATTTAAGGAGTGCCTTAGGCTTATTAAAATCGGCTTGATCAGGACAATTGAAATGTACTCATATGATGCATAAGGAAACTATAAATCAGGATCAGGGGAAGGAAAACCATGTCAGGTAGTCCTCGACTTACGATCCCACTTGAGCCCAAAACTTCCATTGCTAAGCGAGACAGTTGTTAAGTCAGTTCTGCCCCGTTTTACGACCTTTCTTGCCACAGTTGTAAAGTGAACCACTGCAGTTCTTAAATTGGTAACACAGTGGGGTTAAGTGAATCCGGCTTCCCCTTTGACTTTGCTTGTCAAGAAAGTCACAAAAAAGGTGATCACATGACCCAAGAACACCGCAACCGTCGTAAATATGAGTTAGTTGCCAAGCGTCTGAATTTTGCTCACATGACCCTGGGGAGGTTGTTAACGGTTGTAAGTGTGAAAAAAAGGTCATAACTCACTTTTTTCAGTGCTGTTGTAACTCCGAACGGTCACTAAATGAACTGTTGTAAGTCGAGGACTACCTGCAATGCTCCAAAGGTAGCCGAGCCTGAACACAATGCAGGCTTATTATGCTTGGGAACCAGCCCCGCTGAAACACATTTCTCTGGCAGACAAGTCTACCTAGTTTAACACCGGGTTTATGTAAAGTCTAGGTAGACTTGCCTTGGGCTATTTGGTAACTCACAAAGTCCCAGCTCCCAGGAACAAATTGCAGAGATATCTGGGCTGCAATCTTGCATAGATGAAGGAACAAGCTTCAATTAATCGAGTAATAATTAGACAGGATTTGGAGTAGGGAGGCCTAAAGCAGAGTAAAACCTATTCTAACTATCCCACGCAGCCTCCCTAACCGGGCGCTGGGAGATGGGCTGGCCTGCAAGCCCCCACCAGCCCCACCCAGCACGATTTTATTGTATCTCTTTGTTGTAAAATAAATGCCCAAAATTGTAATCCAACCCAAACAAAGAACACCCCATTGGAGAAGGCTGCCAAAAAAAAAGAGCAGGCAATTTTAAAGAGACATAAAACGACCCAGCTCTACATTACTGGCATTTCCTGTAGCTAAAGGTTGGAAAAAAAAGAGAAAGGAATGGAAACTCAAGCAAAAAGATGCCCTTCACAAGCTAATGGAAACCACCACCACCCCAAAAAAAATTGGGGATGGAGGAGATAAAGTACAGCGACTTAAATAAAATTATCCAGCGTTGTTGAGAATCCGGCGACACACACCCCTTTAACCAATGCATCATTTTTAAATGCATTTCCAAATCTTGCTGGCAAATATGTCCATACGTTTCCCTGCTCATTTGGCATTTTCTTGACCTTCCTCTCCTTAGTCCCCAAAAGTGCTTTTTTTCCCCAAAAAAAGTCAATGGGACTGTCTTGCTTTTTTTTTTTTGCCCCCCCCCCTTCTGAAAACCTATTGCTTCTCTTCCAAGAAGCTTCTTCAGTTCTGCTTAACTGAATTGGGTGAGGAGCAAAACGTTTTCAAAGAAAACCAAACAAACGAAGTTGCCTTTTGTTTTGGAGGTGGAAAAAAGAAAGGAAGGGGGGAAAAAAACACTTTTGGGAACAACCATGACCTGGATGATGGAGAACTCCCATAAACTCTATTTGTCTGAAATGGTGTATAGGGTTTCCTGCCTGAGCAGGGGGCTGGACTAGATGACCTCCAAGGTCCCTTCCAACTTTATTATTATTATTATTATTATTATTATTATTATTATTATTATTATACTACACTTCCATCATTTTGAGACCTAAACTTGACCTAATATAAAGGCTACTCTATACAAAACCATACCCCCCCACCCATCCCACCTGGGAAGGTTTAAAGGGGGGGGAACCCCACTTTTCTGCCCTCCATTGTGGCCAATTTAAACAAATCCCCCCATTTTAAAGCACATTTTTTTGCATGGAGAAGAGGCGATCTCATCCTCACGTCTCTTGGAGAGGAGCCGCCCCCCCTTTTCGGGGTCCATATTCAGGCCTGGGGTGGGGGAGGATGAGGGGAGAGCTTGAATTCCCGCGCGGCCCCCCCCCAGGCTGGACTCCAACTCCCATAAGGCGCAGCCAGGGCTGGCCCGGCCGAGTCGGCTCCCCTCAGCCCCGGGGGTCGAGGCCAAGCGGCGGCGGCGGCGGCGGGGGGTGGTCTCCAGTACTCACCCGTCGCCCACCACCACACACTTGATGGCCTGCATCGGGGCGGCTGCTCGGTCGGGGCGAGCGTGGGCGGAAGGAAAGGCCCTGGGCGGCCTCGGCTTGTCTCTCGGGCTTCGGCTGCTGCCTCCCCTGGAAGGAACCGCAGTGAGGGCGCCGAGAGGAGGGCGAGGAGGGCGGCGGCGGCGGCGGCGGCGGCGGCGGCGGGAGCGGAGGAGGCAACGGCCACCACCCAAAGCGCGGGGCGGGCGACTGAGGCGAGCGCGGAGGAAACAGGAAGCGGCCGCTCCGCTCACTTCCGGCCGCGAGCGATCCCGCGCGCGAACGACCGCCCCTTTCCCCCCCCCCACTCTCTCTCTCTCTCAGGCCTTCGGACGCACGCCGCACGGCGCCCGAATGGGGAGAAGGGCGGGGTCGAGGCGCTTCGGGAGCCACGCCCCCCCGCGCCTGGCGTGAGGGGGACGAATAGGTTCGGGAAGGCTCGGGTGTCGCCGGCTGGCCTCGGGTTCGGGTCTTCGGTTAAATCCGTTGGTCTTCGTGCTGCGGCGACTCCTTTGTCTCCCGCTTCGGCTTTTTCTTTCGCTCTTGGCGACTTCGGGTCGTGGTCGGCGTCGCCCGCGGGCGCCACGTTGGGGCTCCTGTCTGGCAAAGTTGTGGAAAGGAGGGAAAAGCAGGAAAAAGAGGGCTGGTTTATCACCTTTGTTTGATCTTATAGCCACTGCAGTGATTACTTCTTCCTATTACCGAAAATGAATTTCTGAGATTGGGGTTGAACCCATGTTTGACTATGATTGAGTAGGGGGCTGGACTAGAAGACCTCGAAGGTCCCTTCCAGATTCTATTCCATTCCATTCCATTCTGTATTTCTATTCTATTCTATTCTATTCTATTCTATTCTATTCTGTATTTCTATTCCATTATTCTATTCTATTCTATTCTATTATTCTATTCTATTCCATTATTCCTATTCTATTCTATTCTATTATTCTATTCTATTCTGTATTTCTATTCCATTATTCTATTCTACTCTACTCTTCTATTATATTCCATTATTCTATTCTATTCTACTCTACTCTACTCTTCTATTCTATTCTATTCTATTCTATTCTATTCTATTATTCTATTCTATTCTATTTCTTTCTATTCCTTCCTATTCCTTTCTATTGATTAATGCACACCAAGTGTAAGCATAGTTTATGAACCTTCATGTTGTGTTGATAATACGATGTTGCCTAGTTTGGTAATGAAACATCTGCAAGAAAACTACCAAGCTCAGCACCAAGGGCTCCATAGTCTTCGTCCTCCTCCTCTCTGCAAAGCCCACTCCCTTCTAGCAGTGATGTTGTTACCTAGTTTGGTAATAAAACGTCTGCAAGAAAGCCATCCAAACTCAAAGCCCACCAAGGACCCCACATTCTTTCTCTAGCAACAATGGCCACCTTACGTGCCCAGTTTTAGTATTAATAGTATCCACATTTGGCGCATGTTTTAACTGCATTTGCCAATGAAATAGTACATTGCTGTGATTTTTTTTTAAAATAGCATCAACTGCCTAGAACAGGGGTCTTCAAACTTGGCCCTTTTATGACTTGTGGACTTCAACTCCCAGAATTCCTCAGCCAGGCACGCTGGCTGAGGAATTCTGGGAGCTGAAATCCACAAGTCATAAAAGGGCCAAGTTTGAAGACCCCTGGCCTAGAATAAATCACTGCACTTGTTTTGCTACTAAAACCTCACAAGGGGAATAAAACTTTTAAAGAGATTTAAATCTTGTGTGTCTAATTGGCATTTGCTTGTCACATTCAACTAACTCGGAGCTTGCTGGGAGAACAATTTAAAAATGTATATCTGTTTCAATATCTTGATATTTTTTTATGTCATTTTTATAATTATTCTTTTGTTCACTTGCAGCACAACTGTCCAGAGCTGCTTTTGGCGAGATGAGCAGCTATACAAATTTGATTAATAAATAACTTAACAAGCCTAATTACAGCTGAATGCGAAGCTGGAACATTAACATTGTTTAACACACTTTTATTTATCTTTCCATATTCCTGGACTCCGGAGGTGAAACCGTTCCCGTAACTTAAAACACTTTCTCATTGTTTTACGTCAGATAGTCGAACAATAACAAAAACCACTCAAAGTTGTGTAAATGAAACTGAATGTCTCAACCATCTTTTATTAGGTGGGGGGGACCTTGTTCCCCTATAAAGTTGCTCCGTATTGTAAGCCTGGTAATGTTATTTCCTCAATTTCTGAAAGAAGGACAGCTAGTTCTTCCTTACAAAAAGGAAATCCGTTTAAAATACAGCTGGAGCTGTTCCGTAGGGGATTTTTAGCACGGTAATAAAAGGCGTGATTAATTTATATGGGTGTGACTGCCAGA